GTTGCATTCCAGTCAGTCATTATTATTAATACATCTTGATTGCATGTTTGATTGATTTCTGACTGCAAATGTTGGTAGAAATCTTCTATTTCCTCCTTTTTGGCTTTAGTTGTTGGTGCATATACTTGAATGATAATGGTATTCACTGGACTACCTTGTGTGTGTGTGGATATTATCCTATCACTCACAACATTGTACTTCATGATGGATCTAGAAATGACTTTTTAAATATGAAAGAAACCTAATTTTTCCTAACCTTTTCATCTCCAGCATACGAGATCATATGATTGTCTAATTCAAAATGTGTGTTGTCAATCCATCTCATTTCACCAATACCTCATATATTAATATTTATGCATTCAATTCCTTTCTTAAAAGTATCTAATTTTCCTACATTCGTGCTTCTCACATTCCACGTTCCAGTCACTAGTGTCTGCTTAGAGTTTCCCTCGTTCTTTGCGTTTCCTTATCTGAGGGCGCAGCCCCGTTGCCATATCAGCTCCTTAGATGTCTATTTTCTGTTTTTTGTTGACCCATGGGAACTTTCCTTGTAGCTACCTTTTCACTATTTTCTCTGTGTCCTTCCCCCCCCCAATTCTTCTTTTTCTGAGATTGCAATTATTTATAAGTTCTTCCTTTTAATTGTGTCTCACCTAAGTCTTTAGCTTTCTCCAGTTTCCTTACTTCTTGGTTCTGCTTTTCCTTCTAGCATGCTAACATTGAGGGCTCTATCTTCTGCCTCACTTTTCCTGTATTTTATCTCTTCAATTCTGCTCTCTACACTTCCAAAAGATTAACAGTGTTAGATATGTTGGTCTTATTTATTTGATTGCAATATCTTGTTTTTCTGTGATTTCTAGTGTTTATTGATTCTACTTTGTCTTGTCTTGGTGTTTTAAATTCTAGAGTTTTGCTTGTGAACGCCTTTAGTTCTTCATATTTTTCTTCGATTTTGTGAAAGCACTTGGTCATTATTCTTCTGAATTCCTTGTCAGAGCATTTCATTAGTCTTTCCTAGGAGATCAATTGACTCTCTGTTTTGATCAATTTTTTTTTAATGATGCCTGTTTTGCTTTTTGGTGAGAATTGAGGTCAAGGTCTGCTGCTTCTGGGACATTATGATGATGTTACTGCAGAATTTTAAAAAAATTAATTCTCCTTCTGGCATCTGTGTGGTGCCTAATGGGGAGTCCAGTCAAAAATCTGTTCACTGGTTGAGCTATGTTGGTTGAGGGGTGGTAATTGGAGATGGTTGACATCTAATGCTGGGCAGGTGAGGTTCATGTTAAACTTTCCTTTGACAAGATATGCAGATGTTCTAGTCTAGTTTGTCATGAAGTCTTCGTTGAATGTGCTGAGAGGGCAGGCCTTCTGGAAGGGCCAGGGGACTCCCAGCAAAAGGAGTCTTTGTGTTTCCATGTACTCAGTGGGCTTGGAGGTTCAGGAGTTTTATAATTCCTGGGTCAGATTCCTCTGGTACTCTGAGCATGTCTGCTCTATTATGATTCTCTTTGGTGATTGGCTTTGGAGAACCCTGATCAGTCAGGGATAAGGAGATGCAGTGTTAACTCACTTGCTGAAAGCCAGAACTACTCAGAGAAAAGTAACAGGCCCTCTCTTCTAGCTGGATTCGTCACCTCCATGAACCAGCTGCAGGGCCAGCTGAGAGGGTTTATGAAGCCACTGTGCCTTGGTTAACTGTCGGTGTGTGAGTTTAGAGCACTGCTTCAAGAACACACAGCAGGAAGTTAGCTGAAAACAGATTCCTGGACAAGCATGCAGACATGTCCCAAGAAAATAGGATGCATTCATGAGACCTAATAAAATCCAGAAGATCATCTGTGAAAGCTTCATTAATGAGAAACTAAAGTCCTGAGAGCTTGTGGAAAATGTAGATTAACAAGAAGCTACTGTCCTTGAAAGTTTACAGAAAATAGTGATAAGTTTCTTGTATGTTTGTTAGGATTTTCTGGGCAAATAATTATGAAGCTCCAACAATATTGAAAACATTTTTTAAAAGAGATAATTGCTTGCTGTGTAGTAAGAAACTTAGTAATAATAGGATGTTTGTATTTTCTCTATATACTGAGAGGAATAAATGTCAGGGCCTTAGCTCTTGCTCTGGCCCCCTTTGTCTCTCTGTATGTTGCTTCCTCAGCAGCACTGTCTCCTCAGGTTCCACCAGTAAATGACAACAGCCATCTATCTGTATGTCTGAATCTTTGTTTTCTGAACAAACTGGTTTCCTCTGCTTATAGTACTCTATGCCTTACACTGAATGAAGATAAAAGACCTTTAAATGTTGACCACAAAGAGTCTTTTATTAGTTTCCACTGATGGACTGCTCTGCATGTTAGAGGCTCAGTGTCGTTTGTTGGTCAATTGTTGATAATGTCAATGGGCACAATCTCTGGGAATAGAAGTTAGCAAAACCTGCCTTCTGGGTATTGCCCTCCCCCTTTAGCAGGGCTTTGCAAAATGACTTTGTCACACTGGGAGACCTCCTCTCCAGGCTCCCGATGGCACCAGTCTGTAAGCTGCAGGGTTGTTTCTTTCAGTGGGCTGAAACAGTCTCCTACAAGTCTAGGTGAAGATTTGGTGGGTGGGCTTCTATTCATACAGAGGAGCTAAGATCCTGATGACCTGTCCCAGATGCTAGTAGGATTGCCCTTGTGGCCTTGCTTTTTTTAAGTTCAAACTCCAACTAGAGGCAGGTATCCCTGGGCAATGCTAATATTTTGTTTTTCCCAGCTATCTGACCTTGGCCTCTAGGATTTTCTCCTTACTTAAGATTGCTCAGACAGTTGTCTTTGGACTGCTTTGTATAGTTTTTCCTTTTCTAAGTAACAATAAAAGATTAAACTGATTCCCCGTCCATCTAGTCTGCCATTCCTCTGGAAGTGCTGCTATTTCTGCAGTAAAATGTAATATTTATTAATACACATGTTACTAGAGCATATGCACGCATTAGCAATTTGTGGTTGACAGACATTTTTTTCTTTCAGAAAATCATTTACATGGATATTCTTACTTATGTTCCAATATGAAATACATTGTTGTTTTTGTTTAATGCCGTCGAGTCGTAGACGACTCATAGCGACCCTATGAACGAACAGCCTGAGCACTATTTGTACATAGAGTTTCCGGAGGCAAGCCATTTTGGAAGTGGATGCCGCTCCTGCTTCCAGGAATGGAATACATATGCGTTGTTATTGTTGTTGTGTACCATACAGTCAGACCCATAGCTGATGCTCTAGCGGGTTATCAAAGGCCGTTAATCACACAGGAGAAGATTCCTCATCTTTTTTCTGTAGAGCTAATGGTGGGCTCAAACCATTTGCCTTCAAGATTACAGCACAACTTCTTGCCACTATGCTACCACATATATCCACTTCCTAAACAACATGCCTCTGGAAACTCGATGACTTTGAGTAATGATAGTTATAGAAAGGCTTCAGATCTTTTATTCATAGGGTCACTATTAGTCGTGCTTGACTCGACAATCAACAACAAAAACAACTACACACACACATTTTTCAACAATCTTGTTGGCATAGTCATTAAGTCCTTGGCTACTAACCAAAAGATCAGTGACTCATACCCACCAGTGGTTCTGTGGGAGAGACGCATGGATGACAGTCGTGGAAATTCTATGTTACAGTTTTTATGTACTGTCAGGCCAGAATCAACACATAACTGACCTTCCAGCAGGTTTTCAGAGTCAAATCTCATGAGAGGTGATTCCCCATCTTTCTCCCAAGAGGCAGTGGTGGATTCTAAGCATACGCCTCTAGGTTGTCAGGGCAACTTCTTACCACTAAGCCATGAAGTGCTGTGGCATACTATTGAGTGACCGTGAGTCATAGTTGGCAATAGTCATAATCATTTTGACGTGTATTTGATGAGTCAGTTAGAATTCCTTTGGCTTCTAGTATCATGAAATCACCTCTAAAATGACCTAAATTGGTGTTAAGGTGACTACTAGTGAACTCTGAATTACAGGGGTCTTCTGAACAACCTGGCCTGTGTCAGCCTCACCATTTGGTGCCATGTTCAAGTCTATTGTAGTCTCTGTGTCGATTTATCATTGAGGGTCTTTCTCTCTTTCACATTCTCTCTAATTTCCAAGCTTTATGCCTTTTTTTCCAAGAATTGCTACTTCTTGATAACATGCCTACATTATTCCACCAAAGAATTTAGAGTTTTCAGTCTTTTATTACATTGACTTCACAGCTGGGGAGACAGGAGCATATTGTTCTGTAATTTTCTCTCTAATAAACCTCAGGAGAACTTTGGAAGCTTTCTCTTCTAGTATCCCTGTGACTGTCCCATTCCTGTCTATCACATGGTGATGATAACATATATTATTTTAAAAGATATCATCATCTAAATAATTTATTGATGCAAACTTCTTCATAGAAAACTAACATACTTTTTCTCTGTGCATTTTTTAAAAAAAGACTTTGCTAGTTTTTCAAGAAAGAGAAAATATCTGGATAAGTCAGCTGTCTCATCTCCTAACATGGCCTCTCAACTCCAGAGTGCATGCATGTCTTCAGAATAAAGCTCTTTCTCAAAGACAGAGTTTAGACCATTACAAATTCTATGTCAAGCTTTTGAGAAAACTCCTCAGTTTTCTTTCATCATCATATTATAAATTTTATAAAGCAAAATCTTATATAACCAACAGTTCTCCCCACGCTCTCTGCAAGTCTTTTCTTCTTCAATACTCTGTAGAATGCATCTTTCACGTAAATATTCCTCAGATGAGAGGAGGAAATATGTTCAATATTGAGTTGAATGAGGAAATTAAAGAGGAATAGCATTTTCTTCTGTTCTTCCTTCTTGTTGGGTGGAACCATGTCGGCTACGACTTTGCCCAAGAAAAACCCAGTCATGCACCACACAGCGTTGGTCTGTTTGGTTTTCGAATTTTATTTGATGATAGAAGCGCATAATTTAAGAGAATGAATTTCTCTGCACCATCATTCTATCCACCTTCATACAACGCCCTTCCTCTGCAGGACTCTGTAGAAGGCATCCTTCACCTGCGCGTTCCTCAGGCTATAGATGAAGGGGTTCAGCAATGGGTTGAAGAGACCGTAAAACAATGAAAGGACTTTCTGCTGCTCCTCTCGCTGATTGCCACCTGGGACTAGATAAAAGATCATACCTATGCCGAAGAAGAGCCCGACCACACAGAGGTGGGAGGAACAGGTAGAGAAAGCCTTTCTTCGACCCTCCCTGGACTTGATCCTCAGGATGGCAAAGAGGATATGAGTGTAGGAGATCAACATGAGGAAAAGCGGTCCGACTAGGACTAGGACACTGGCAATGAGTACAACTACTTGGTTGACAGAGGTGTCAGCACAGGCCAGCTTGAGGACGGACAGGATTTCACAATAGAGGTGGTTCACTACCCGAGGCCCACAGAAGGGAAGCCTTTGGAGGAGAGTGGCGTGGACAATGGCGAGGGTAAACCCACATGCCCAGGACACGCTGGCCATGGCAGTGCACACCCTCCAGCTCATGATGACCGTGTAGTGCAGGGGGTGGCAGATGGCCACGTACCTGTCGTAGGACATCACCAACAAAATGAAGCACTCAGTGGCCGCAAGGGCCAAGTAGAGAAACACCTGGATCACACAAGACACAAAGGAGATGGTTTTTTCCTGGTTCACCAGGTTTGCCAGCATCTTGGGGACATGGTTGGAAGCATAAGCTATGTCCAGGACTGCCAGGTGGGAGAGGAAGAAGTACATGGGAGTGTGCAGTCTGGGGTCGAGGCAGATGAGTCCGAAGATCACTCCATTTGCCAGCAGACTGAAGACATAGAACATGAAGAAGACCCAGAAGAGGAGGAATTCCACGTCTGCACTGAGCTGGAATCCCACCAGGATGAACTCCGTAACCCATGACTGGTTGCCCCTCATTACTTAGTGACGGTCTTTATAAAGCGAAATGTGATACCACGGTCAGAGCTGGGGAATCAAGGAGAGTTGGAGTCATTCACTATGAAATGAGCTCAGGAACAAGTTACAAGCTTGTTCTTACTTACTGCTCCCCTTCAAGATTTACTTTCATTATTTTTTAATATTTGTTTTATAAAAGAAATTAAAAAACTTAAAGTGTCGATATTACATATATTCTCCATATACTTTCTACTTGACTCAACAAATGCTACTTGTTAAAATGCATTTGACTTTTGTCTGCTTGAACATATTACTATTTTCTGAACCAACTGAGAGAGACTTTTAGACATAATGCACATTTACCCCCAAGTTTCTTGTTTTCCCCAGAAAGAAGGACATTTGCCAGATCAGGAAGTTTAATATTTGCATTATTTTCTTTTCTAATCTCTAGGACTCCCCCTCCCACCCCCCCGCAACACCTCTAACCATGACCAAGTATACTATCATACACTATCTTTAATAACATCTACGTTTATTCTCCTTTTATGAGGACTGTTTCCTCAGCTTTCTTTTGCAGTTCTTGTCATTGATATTTCTCCTGGGCACAAAACAGTTGTTTTGGACTATGTCCCTCAAAGTTAGAGTATATATTGTTACTCATGTTTTAATTCAGATAATATATTTTCAGGCCATAGTCTTTGCAATTACTTGCTATGCATCAGAGAGCTGGACAATGACTAGAGATGATAGAAGGAGAATTTATGGCTTTAAGCTGTGGAGAGGGTGAGACCAGGCTGCTCCTTGAAGGCAAGGAATCCCACTCTTCACCTGATATACTCTGGACATGTTGCAAGGAGGGATCAGTCCTTGGAGAGGGACGTCATGCTTGGAAGGATGGAAGGACAACACAGGAGAGGAAGACCCTTAATGAGATGGATTGATTCAGTGACCGTGGTAATTGAGGTAGGTGTGTCAGGGACAGTAAGATTGGCACAGGATAGAGAAGGGTTTAAGGCTGTTGTACGTAGGGTCGCTATGAGTTGTAAATGACTCAACAGCACATAAAAACAACAACATATTTTCAGGAGAATAAGTAGTATCTTCTTCAGGATTTTATCATTACTAACACCAACTAGCACCGCTTCTTCCAGATGACTCCATCTGCAAATTATATGCACTGTAAAATCATTATCTTTTCTTGAGGTTTTTTCTAGAGACAATCATTTAAGAGATAATGTAAACATCCTTTCCTTTATAAAACTTTTAACCACTAGTTTTAGAATTTATGCATTCTCTTGCCTGGGTCAATTACTAATGATAAAAGTCGCAAAACTGCCCAATTCCATAATTTCTTTTATATTTACTTTGGGAACTTATGCTTAAATAAGAATTCTTCCATTGATTTTTAAAAAATGTATACTCATGAGTTTTAAATTATAATCATTATTTATTTTGATGTTCTAATGGCTTTAAATGTGAACTCTTATTAAAGCTACTCCCCACTTTTCTTCCATCAGTTTGCTGTACTGTAATAATTTATATTGTTATAATACCAGAAATGATGTCACTGGTTTTTTAAATACTAACATTACCACCTGTATAAGACTAAGACTGACTAGGAAAAAAGATGTAAAAAGGCTTAGTGAAAATGTCAGAAATGATTGGCTAGTGAGAACCTCATGCACAGTACAGGAACATGGTAATGATGAAAGAGAAGGACTTGCGCTTTAGATGCTCAAAATAAGACTGAGGAAGAGCTACCTTCTCAAAGTCAAATCTACCTGAAGGATGTGCATACAATGAAGTTCTCAGCAAATGTCGCCCAACTCAAATGAGGGGGGAACACCCGGCTGTAGTATTCATTAATAATTTAAATGTGGAATGTATGACAAATGGATCGAGGAAAATGAGAAGTAGCCAAAAATTAAACGAAATTATAAAGATTGACATCCAAAATATGAGCATAAATAGAGAGGACAATTATACAGCCTGCTAAGTGAACAGTGATAAATGAAAATGATTGTGGTTACTTTTATCATGGAAAAGAATGTCTCACGAACCATCCTGAATTAATGCTCTCAGGGATGGCATAATGTTCATACATACACAAAGCAGATCTGTTACTATCACTATCATTTATATTTATGCACTAACCATGAAGTCAAAGATGAGAAAATTGAGGCCTTCTACCAACTACTGCAGTTTGAAATTATCAAATTTGTAATCAAAATTCATAGATTAAAATGTAAACATTGGAAACAAAAAAAAACCCATTAGAACTTGGAAAACATGGTCTAGTGATATAAATAAGGTCAGAGATTACATAAGAGAGTTTTTTCATGACTAATATTTATTAGTCACTTATTTCTTACAAATGTATTTTTCCCCCAACAACATGAAAGGTGACTATCGTCTGCAGGGAGCTGCACTGCTAACCACGCTTGTGTTTTTCCAACAGTTTGAATCCACCAGTGATTCCAAGGGAGAAAGATGGATAATCTTCTTCTGTATGATTTACAGCCTCTGAAAACCAGCTAGTGGGTCAATTATGAGTAGTTCCAATTCAACAGCACTGACGTCTGTTTTTTAAGTGTACGTGTGAATGTCATCATATGGAACACAAAGAAGTCAAATATACGAAAAGAAGGTAGAAAAGTTCAGAGTCATTCAGAACAAGGCAGGATCCAACCGTGAAACAAGCTATCAATTCCTCATATAAAACTCAAAGAAAATGAGGAAAAAGTCCATAAGAGCATATTCTATTTGAATTTAGGGACCAATTCAAAACTAGATGTCAGACATTGAACAGTAATGACCAAAGGCTAAATGAATTGTGGAATAGAGTCAAATAAGTCATCCACAAGAAAGCAAAAAGTCAAGTCATTAGAAAGAAATAAAGAACCAAAATGGAGTCCCTAAAAGACCTTAACCATAGAAAACAGATTTGCTACATCTGTGGGGAAAAAAGTTAGAGAAGCTCATTATCAGTAGTCAAAACAAGGCCAGGTGCTGGCTGTTGAATAGAACATTGATTATCCAAGTGCAAGTTAAAAGTGAAGCTGAAGAAAATGAAAAACAACAACAACAAATCAAACACAAAAGAATGAAAATATGATCTTAAGTCTATACCATCTGAATTTACAAACCACCTCAGGAATAAATTTGAGGCATTTAACACTAATGACCTAAGACAAAATAAATTGTAGGATGACATCAAGGTTATCATCTAGGAAGAAAGCAAAAGGTCATTATAAAGACATAGGAGAAAGCAAAAATCAAAATGGATCAGAAAAAACTCTGAAAATCATACTAGAATGTTGAGAGAAGTCAAAAGGAAGAAGAAATACTTAAGTAAAAGATAGAAGCAGAAAATTTCAAAGGGCAGCTCAAGAAGACAAAGTATTATAACCAAACGTACAAACAGTTGGAGTAAAAAAAAAAAAAAAAGAAATAACTCACTGAGCATTTCTCAAGCTGAAGGAACTGAGAAACAAAGTCAAGATTCAAACGGCAGTACTGTGTGATACTATGGTCAAAATCTTAAATGGTCCAGAAAGCATCAAAAGGAGATGGAAGGAATACATAGTCACCATACCAAAAAAAAAATAAATAAATAAATAAAAAGGCTGACATGGTATCATTTCAGGAATAACAGATGGAAAATATGCAGCACTAAGGAAGAATGATTTTGTAAAATCTACATAGCATGAGAGAGTCTAGAGAGCATTACGCTGAGTGAATTAACTCCGTGTCCTTAGGACGAATACATAAGGCTATTATTGTAGGAATAGAAGGCTAACTAAAAAGATGTGTATAAATGTCTAAAAAGGAAAGGTGAAAAATGGAAGAGGGACAGGAAAAGAGGGGAAGGGTGAAAATAGCTAGAATAGCAGAGTTTACTGGGTGGATTTGAAGAGGGGAGGTGAAGAAATAGGAAGAAATAGGAAATAGGAAAAATTCAATGGAGACTTGATAACATAATAATAGGCATAGGTCAATAGAATTAATTCTATAAGATACAACGTATATGAATGATTGTATAAAACACAATGCAAACAAAATACTGAATGAAAACCAATAAAAAAAACAACAAAAACCCCCAACTGTACTAAAGAAAGAAATTCAAGCTGTCCTGAAAGCTTTGGCAAATAATTGACAAGTTTCAACAAACAGATACAGAAAACAATAATCCTCACCACTTGGCCAATTAGCAAACTTATAACAGATGGAGTAAAACATTGCAATTGTCAACAATTTCATCTTACATGGATCCACAATTAGCACCCTTGGTAAATCAAAAGATATGTTGCATTAGGAAATTTGCTATCAAGGACTTCTCCTAATTGCTAAAGAATGATGTCGATTTAAAGACTAGGGTACATCTGAACCAAGCCATGGTCTTTTCAATTATTTACTATGAATCTGAAAGCTGGATAATGACCAAGGATGACAAAAATTGATGCTGTTGAGTTGTGGTGTTGGAGAAACATACTGAATATCGCATGTGCTACCAAAGAATGAACAAATATGTCTTGGAGAAAGTGCAACCCGGATGTTTTTTGGAGGCAAGAATAGTAAAGCTCTGACTCACATACTTCAGGCATGTTTTCAGGAGGACCAGTCCTTGGAAAAGATGAGGACCTTCTTCAAAGAGGAAGACCCTAACAAGACAGTTTGACACAGTAACTGTAACCGTGGGCTCAAGTCTATCAGAGAGGAGGAGGAGGATGGCTTAGGGCAGGGCAGGGTTCAGAGATGCTGCTCACGGCAGTGTTGTGAGTTGTAGTTGACTCAAAGGCACATAATAACAATAGGACTGTGGCATTATTTCTAAATACAGAGAGGGTAAAACAAATGGAATACATGAAAATTTCAAAGAGGAATTTGAGAAAACAAGTACAGTAACATAATAAAACATGAAAAGACTTAAAACTAGAAGACTAAATGGGAACAAAATGGTTGGAATTTCTTAAGCTGATGAGAGTGAAGGGGGGTGGGGATCAGCTTTAAGTTGGATAGTG